GTCGCGGCGCCCGGCGGGTCCGACGGGTCCGTCGTCGTCCGCTGGCCCAAGGGCGGCGTCGCCGTCGCCGCCGACGGCGGCTGCGTGCGCGCGTTCTACGAGAGCGGCGCGCTCGCCGCCGTGTCCGACGCGCGGGGCGCCGTGAGCGTGAGCGCGCCGGGCGGCGCGACGCTCCTGAGCCTGCGGGCCGAGGGCGGCGGCTTCTCGTCGACGGACGGCGGCGGCATCGACCGCCAGTGGTCCGGCGGCGGCGACGCGCCCGGGCTGCTGCTGATCGACCTCCCCGCGGCGGACAAGGGGAAGCCGGCGAAGGGGAAACCGGGCGCGAAGAGGGCGGCGTCGCTCGGCGTCGCCGTGGACACGAAGGCCCACTTCGCGCGCGTCTACTTTTGCCATAGGGGCGTCAAGTGCTGCGCGTCGCAGCACGGCGGCGTCGCGCTCCTCCCGCCGGACTCGGATCTGTACGGCCGCGAGAAGACGCGCGAGATGAAGCGCGCGGAGGAGGACCGGCGGGCCCGGGAGGCGGCCAAGGCCATGAAGGCCCACGAGGACGCGCTCGGCGACCTCGGCGACGAGGGGCCCGCGGCGTCGCACGCGGACCTCCTCTCGCGCATCCGCGCGGCCACCGAGGGGCTCTCGAAGCTCACGGAGGGGCTCCCGGAGTATACCTAACCCGCGCCGCGCCGCTTCGCCCGGGCCGCGGCGACGCGCGCCCCGTCGCGGCGCCGCTTCTCCCGGGACCGCCCGAGCCACGGCGGCGGGCCGCGCGGCGGCTCGTCCCTCTCGCCCTCGGGGATCCAGAAGAGGCCGTCGCGCTCCACGGTCTTCGTCGCCCAGGCCGAGCCGTCGTCCCCGGGCAGGGGCCAGGGGTCCTTGCCTACCAAGCACGACGGTGACGATGTTCCATTGTTGTCCCGGTCAGAATCTCTCGAAAATCGTCGCGGCCACAGGACGCTGGACTCCTCGCGGAACGTTTCGTCGTCCATCTCGCGCGACGTCGCGCACGCGCTCGCGTTCCGCGGCCGCGTCGCCCGCTCCCAGCGCGCGACGACGTCGCCGTGCTCGTGCGGCCGGTGCCACTCGACGCCGTAGGACTCGACGAGGCAGTGCGTGCGCGTCGTGAGGAGACGCGGCAAGATGGCGTACTCCATGCCCTCGACGTCGAGCTTCGCGACGACCTTCGCGCGCCGTTCGACGTGCGTTCGCAGGAAAGCGGCGAGGTCGACGACGGGCGTGTCCCCGCGCTCGCAGGCTTCGAAGCGGCCCGTCTCGCCGCGGCCGTGGCCGAAGCAGGATCTGTGCGTACTCGCGCCGACGCCGGCCCGCAGGAAGGTCGCGCGGAAGCCGAGAGCGGCGTACCGTTTCCCGAGCTCGGCGAGGCGCGGCCACAGGAACGGCGACGGCTCGAAGCCGACGCTGCAGGCCGTGTGCCAGACGTCGCGGTCCAGGCCGAACGCGTTCGCGAAGAGGCGGAAGACGGGCGGCCGTTTTCCTTTGGTGTATTTTTCTGCCTCGAAGAGCTTGCGAGTTTGCACGCCCAGATTGGCACCGAGGTCGAGGAAGATCATGGAGCAGCCGGCCGTCAGCGGGCTGCCCAGATGGCCGGCGATGTCGATGCCGTCGAGGAGCGTGTCGTTGGCCGCGAAGACTGCGGGTACGAGCAGTAGCAAGCGCCTCATGGGCTGCCCATCACGCGCGAATGTGCACCGTCGACATCAACAACGATCGCTGAAGAATCTCGAAGACGATGCGCTCGCACTTTCGCAGCCTGCAGCGCGTCGCGCGCCGCGCACCGCACCGCGCCGCGCGTCCGACGACCCAGCAAACGAGCCGCGGCTTCTCCGCCGCGTCGCTCTGGATCGACGGCGCCCCGTGCGGCGCCTCCGACGGCGCCTGGCTCGACGTGCGGTCGCCGCGCGACGACGGCGTCTTCGGCGCGCTGAGCGACGCGAGCGCCGACGACGCGGCGCGCGCCGTCGGCGCGGCGCAGCGCGTCCACGACGCGGGCGCCTGGGCGGCGGACGCGGCCGCGCGCGCGGCCGCGCTCCGGTTCTGCGCCTCCGGCCTCCGCGACGACCTCGAGGCCTACGCGCAAATAGAAGCCGCGGACTGCGGGAAGGTGCTCGCCGAGGCCCGGGGCGACATCGGCTACTGCGCCGACGTGCTCGACTACTACGCGCGTCTGCTGGAGGAGCGGCGGCCGTCGGCGGCGGTGGCTCCGCCGCCCGACGGCTACTTCGACGCGGAGCTTCCGCGAGGATCGACACGAAACCCGTGGGCGTCGTCGCCCTCGTGACGCCCTGGAACTTCCCGCTCATGCAGGCCGTGCTCAAGGTCGCGCCGGCCGTCGCCGCGGGCTGCCCGCTGGTCCTGAAGCCGTCGCCGCTCGCGTCGCTGACGTGCGTCAAGTTCTTCGCGGAGCTGTTGGGCCCCTGCGCGCCGCGCGGCGCCGTGAACCTGCTCACGGGCGGCCCGCCGAGCACGCCGGCGGCGCGGGCGACGGAGGCGCTCACGCGGGACCCGCGGGTGGCGCTCGCGAGCTTCACGGGCAGCGGCCGAGGCGGTGCTGAAGTGCTCAAGGCGTCCGCGGCGAACCTGCGGCCGACGTCGCTCGAGCTGGGGGGCAAGGGGGCGTTATTGGTGCTCGACGACGCGGACGTCGACGCGGCGGCGGACTTCGCGGCGCTGGGCATCCTCCAGTGCTCGGGGCAGGTGTGCTCCGCGACGTCTCGCTTACTGGTGCACGAGTCGCTCGAGGAGGCCTTGCTGGAGAAGTTGTTGGCCAAGGTCGACGCCGTCGTCGTCGGCGACCCGCTTGACGAGGCCTCGACCATGGGGCCCGTCGTGTCCGAGGCGCAGCGGGCGAAGATCGAGGACGCGGTCGCGGCCGCGCTATCGACGGGCGGCGCGGAGCTCGTCTCCAAGCCCGTCGACGTCGACGAACGGGGCTACTACGTGGCGCCCGCCGTGCTGCGGAACCCGCGGGACGACGCGCCGGCCTGGACCGAGGAGATCTTCGGGCCCGTGCTCTGCGTGCGGCCGTTTCGCGACGACGCCGAGGCCGTCGCGGCGGCGAACGCGTCGCCCTACGGCCTCGCCCACGCGGTCTTCACGGCGGACCGGCGGCGCGGCGACGCCGCGGCGGCGGGGCTCGACGCGGGCGTCGTCTGGGTCAACAACAACCAGCTCCTCTGGCCGTCGACGCCCTTCGGCGGCGCGAAGCGGAGCGGCTTCGGCTGGGAGGGCGGCGAGGCGGGGCTCGAGGAGTACCAGCAGCGCAAGACCGTCATCTCGGCGCCCCACGGGTGGCACATGGGGTGCTACCCGGGGTAGGGGCGTGCTCGAGCACGTACCAACTGCGGTCGAATGTTGCGGTCGCCGCGGCGCTTAAGCGGCGCTATTGCGCCGCTAAGGGAAACATGGAGGCCTCACCGGCCAAATCGCCGCTTGCCGTGGTTGAGGTGGCACCACCAAGTGCTGCACTCGAGAGCTCCTTCGCAAGCTTCGCTGCTATCGTGTCGACATCTCCGTCGAGCCACCCGTGCGCGCACCGCGTCCCAGCTTTTTTCGTGGCGGTCCATCCGCCCGCTTCCTCCCTCGTCCACGAGGCGTCCCCGGGGCGCGCCGCATTCGGCGGTATCGATCGCGCTCTCGTCCATCGCTGATGCCAGCGATGCGCTTCGGCGGTCGCTGCGCTCGCGGGCCGCGTCCTGCTCGCGGGCCGCGACCGCCGTATCCCGCGACACGGTCTCACGACCCGCTCTGGGCGGCGGCGGCGGCGGTCGTGGGACGGGCTGGGCCGCGCGCTCGAGCCGATCGCCTCCGCGGGCCTCGCCCCGAACGCGCCGACCGCCTTCGGCGGCTTCGCCAGTCGCATTACCAACCCATCGCATCGCTCGCCGCTCGCCCATCGCTCGCCGCGCCCGCGCTTCCCTCGCCGCGCGGGCCCCGCCCCGAGCCCGTCGACCGCAGGTACCTAACGACACCATGGCCGCCACGGGGACTAGCACAGTCAAGATCGGCATGGCGAAGATGCTCAAGGGTGGCGTCATCATGGACGTCGTCACGCC